TGCTAAGACCGGTACGGCCGATGGAAAGTCTGGGAGGGAGGAAAGATAAACCTATATTGAGTTCATAAAAAATTTCGTGAAAATGAGTATCTTGATTTTTTTTAAACATATACTATAAATAATTAATAAAAATGCTTTAATTCATTTTAACTCATTTTTATGCATCATAGTTTAATGAAATTAAACTATTATACTGTTGTCTATTTTTTTAAATTAATAAATAATCATGGGCTGGCAACGTGGTCACCATGGCAACGCACCACCAGTAGTAAAACTAATAATTACACGTATTCAGTTTCACTTTACATACATACATACATGTGTATGCTAACATTCATACCATAGTGGACAATTTTGCGTATATTTATCAGCGCTTATTTATCTCGCGCAGTCGTGTTTAATTTTTTGAAGCACATTTTAGGATATGGTCGGAAATGATAGAAACCTTTGAAAAACATATTTATTTCTATGGAAAAAAATTGCCACTGAGTTGGAACACTGTAGTTTCGTAGTCCATGCGATTGACTACCCAACTCCGAAAACCGGAAGTCGACCCAATTTCAAAGAAGTAGAGTTCGAGTAATTGAAGAATCCCAACCACGTGCAAAATTTACTCTTAATTTACATCACCCAGATCCAACCGGAAAAGATCCAAAACCACATAAATTCTCAACTCCACAATAACTCGAAAAATCTACTCCCAAACCAACAATTTCTCAACCAAGAATCCTATGCCAAAATCCTTCTTCTAACTCTAAAATGGCCCGCAGTAATCCAGAATCGGAGAAAGTAAAGAAAATGGCTAAAATCTTTTTTGCTTCCGTCCGACCACCCAAACCTTTTCAAAAGGAAATACAGAATAAACAAGAAATTGACAACCTTCAAAATCAACTTTCCACAATAAAAATATCTAAAATTCCTACTCAACCAACTCTTTCAATAAATAGCTCAAATTCTTATTCCACTAGCTCCACAAATTCCTATGTTACCAATTTTACCTACATCCTATCCCATTAACTCCACAAATTTTTACCTTACCGATTTATCAACACATGAAATTTTCATCCCACCAGTTGCACCATGAACTTCTCTGTGGAACTAACAATGCGATGGTGTGAAGTGTAACCCTCCGATTTGGCTTAAATTTTAAAATTAGGTGGTCCAAGCCAATACAACTAACGTTTCTTCAGGCAGTTTGTGCGATGGTGAGAGTTACTCAAAATATTTGAGGTCAAAGTTCAAAAAACGGCCGACTTTTTTCAGGCGGAGTGAGAAAACTCCACTTCCAGTCTCTTCCCCTCGCTTTGATTTTCACTCCGAAAAATAATTCATTTCAACAATTTTAAATTTAATTTTTTTTTGTAGAAAAATATTAATTATTCATTGCACATGTGACCATATGATTATTTTCATAAAAGTCCACAAAACAATACGATAAACTGCACCAGCTGAATTTGATGAATGTGGGATTGCCACAATTCAGGTCGCAACTAATATTTTTTTTCTCTAAAACAAACGTCGTTTACATTTTTAAACTCGGGCTTTTCGTCATCACCCCATAATCCGCTCGAGTACCAACAATATCGAATCATTGGAACAAACACAGGAGCACTTAAAATATAAATTAATTGAATATTAGAATAACCAACGCGTTCGAAATGGAAAGCAAGTTAAGTTTTTCCATGTTTATTTGCCGTTGGCGAATTTATAAATTAACTTTTATGTAAATTTGTACTAGAAATAAGTAAAAATCGCACTTATTTAATTATGAATTAAATTATGTATAATGCGTATTAATTGCTTTTTAAGCTGTAGTTAATAATGTTTATTTTTTATTATTTTGCATCAAAGCCTGTGCTTGTGCATGAAGGCGTATGCGTGAGCGAGACACCTGCAAATCAAAGCGAGGGGAAGAGACTGGAAGTGGAGTTTTCTCACTCCGCCTGAAAAAAGTCGGCCGTTTTTTGAACTTTGACCTCAAATATTTTGAGTAACTCTCACCATCGCACAAACTGCCTGAAGAAACGTTAGTTGTATTGGCTTGGACCACCTAATTTTAAAATTTAAGCCAAATCGGAGGGTTACACTTCACACCATCGCATTGTAAGTTGATCTTCATGAAATTCTCCCACCCACACCCTCCCCTTCTAATCTCCTGGATGATGATATGTATATCTGTTATGATCCGGAATAAATCATAATCGATGAGGAAGTGTCCACAATAATCCCAAATCAAAATTATTAACCTAGCAAAATATTGAACTCGATTTTCTTGGAATATTACACATATTCATTTAAGAAGGACGAAAACTGTACATAAATATGTGTAAAAATCTAACCTTTGTATGCATGCTATGCTAGGATTTAAACACTAATGATTTAAATATGGTCTAACACAATTAGCCCACAAATGGACAGTTGAGTTTTGAATAATTAACAAAATTTGCCATGTGCTTTGTGCATTGTGCAAATTTTTCGCAGGTTTTGCATTAACACCCACCCTTTAAGTCTCACATCGATGATTGTTGTTATCATTATCGCTCAATAAAATCAATATATTGATAAGTTGATGTAGAACCTTATCGCCAAAATTGTAAAGAAATAAGCTTTGACAGCTTGGAAACTTAAATGTTTAATTAAATTTAAACTGATCTATGTAAGAATCATACAATGATACGTAAGTAAATCAGTATTTGTAAGTTAAATGATTAAATTTTTCTAAATTTATATCGCGGTTAAGGTCAAAAACGTCCTTCTAGAAGGGTCATTTTGTAGGGAAGTAGCGTCCAATTTACATAGAACCTTACATATTTACTTGCTCTAATTTGCACTGATGTTGAGATTTATTTGACGGAAGCCAACGATTACGTTTCATCAGCTTCTTATGGATTGGACTTATTAACCAAAGATCAAATATCTTAACTTTATTCTATTCTTACAAGTACTTTTATAGATTCAATTCATTAAATAATAAGGATGGGCTATAGCATATTCGCCTCACCTATGTCAACTTTTTTTGCAATTTACTCGACTGAACTGAATCATATTTTTCATTATTTAGCACAGGTTGAGGTATCCTGATTCGCTCTGCTTTAATAGCTATTTAATGATGCCGTTTTGAGCCTAACTAGCGCATCCAGCTATTTAAAAACAACTATCCATGTGTTAAGTTCGCACGCAACCTTGGACAGGTGCATTAATTAAATTAAGTCATCAATGATGAAACTGATAATTACTTTTGTTCAGCTTCACTTTGTAATATTCATTCATACGTATCCTAAACTGAACAAGTCTGGTTACAATTTATCGGCCATTTTTCGTCTTCTGCAGATACGCGGCTAATGTTTGGTTATGGAATGTAGTTGCTTCGCGGGATTGAATTTACAGATATCTTATTGATTTTCCAGCAAGCCTATCATTTTCTTCACAGGTACGCATAGTATCAGTGTTATATGTAGTTACATTATTATATAATACTAGTTGGTTGGAGTAAGTTAGTTTAACTGGACAGAGGAAGTAAATCTATCGAAATCCTCACATTCAGTTCCAGGAAACGCCCTAAACCTTTTAGTGGTACAACTTACTTTTGAAACAAATCTGCTTTAAAATGCGTATTAGTGCAATTTTTATATTTTTGCAATCCTACACAAGTTTTGTCCAGATATACATATGTACATACAGACGAAATTTTAATGTAGAAGTGCATTTCCGTTTCTTAAATTCAACGTCTTTTGTAACCAGTTACGTGTTAAAACTTCGGTACAAAAAGACGCCCAAGCCTTGAATACGGCCAGTTATTGGAAAGCACTTTCCTCCGCAACTCTTTCCTTTGGTGAGCTTTTCCACCAGCGAAACACTGCTAAATCGGTACTTTCCTCCCAATTTGGATGTTCTTCTACTCCGATAATATTTTCAACCTAACTCTAGGATATTTGTGATTAAAATCCTAATTTAATAAGTACATTTGTGCAAATACTTTTCAACATTTTCTATGAATTAAGTTTAGTTTCGTGAATTGTAATCTGTCCAAGCTTTCATTATTTTTAGTTGCCTTTCAAGGTTCAAGTCCGTCTAGACATATGTATAATAATAAGAGCAAAGTTAAATGTATGTACATACATATTCACCACCGACAAGCTTTCTCGCGTGCTTTAAATATTCAAAATGCTAGTTAAATCGACCTACATATTTTGGGTTAAGCTCCAGGTCTACATATGAACTTGGAGTGTTTATATTTTGGAAATGTATTCTACCTTGGGTTAAGCTATTATTTCTACAATATTATTTGTTCATTTTGATATGATCTGTTGAATACCACTCATCAGAGTCAAGTATGTAATTAGACAATTTTCAAAAGACGCGAATTAACTGAAAATTGTCATATGGCGAATTACTATAGATATCTCGCCGCGAGACCTTAATAGAGTAATTACTTTAATAGAAAAACCATTCAACTCAAAATTATGGGGATGCTGTTCAAACAAAAATCTAAATTTTCAACTTATAAAAGTTGTAATTTTTAATTTAAGGTTGGTAATGACAGTGCGGTCAACCGCTTTTCAACGACTTCTTGTGAGAATCGTACATATTTCTGCATGAAATTTATACGTATTGCTTTCCATTATAAAAATTATGAAATTAAATTTCGTAGCGTAAAAGTGTTATGAAGAAAGATATTAGATGTGAGGTTGATTGCGATTTTAACATTTCGTCCGGAAATTATTTGTTCAAAATTCTTCACGCTTTTAAAAAAAGACGTAAAAAACGGGGCAAAATTTTGCTTCCTTGTGAAGTTTCGCTTCAGCAAGAAATTATCAATGATGGTCAGAAACTCTTCCTAAGAATGCTTGAAATTTTTAAGATGAAATGTTAATCTTAAACGTCATAAATTTTTAAACTAAAAAAATATGTATTTCTAACGATCATATTTCTATGTTTCTAATATTTTTATATTTTGCATTGCAACGTATAATTATGAATTACGTAAATATGCACGAGTGTGTGTGTGTGCTAAAATATGCTGGTTTATACCTGAAGTGACTTAAATATATCTACATATATACATGACTAAATTAAGTAATTAAAGTCTTATCTATTAATCGGGAGGCTTATCTGCCGGACTTTATCCTGTTTTTCTTTTGTTTCTCTATCCCGGCAGAATATTTTAATCCAGTTTGAATTCCGCCTGTTGCAGAAATTTTTGCAGAAAGAACCTATAAATGCAAAATAAATGAATTAGTATTTAGCCCACCTTTGCAAATCGTTCGCATGAAATTTTAATACTTCATAATTTCTCACCGGAATGAATTGCGTTTGAAAATTTATGTAATTGATGGCCAAACTTGAATTTGTTTTTTGTCATGGAACCAGATTTTAGTGATATGTAAGTGCTAAAAAATTTGTAATTTTACACATTAGAACTCCGTCCTTAAAAATTATGCAATTTATGAAATTAATTTCGTCTCAAAATTCAATACCGTATTTTCTTCAATTCTAATACGAATCATCCGCTACTGGGTCCAAGTTTTTTCACAGTTTTGCATAATAACTGCTGAGAGCCTTAATTAATGAGAGACGCTAATAAAAACAACAAGAAAAAACGTTTTTTGTATCAAACAAAGCTTGACCCATTGCGTTACTCGTAAAAAATATAATAACGTGTTAATTAGTTTATTATTAATACATACCATGTTTGAAAAGGCATCAAAATCCCAATTTTAAATAGCTTTAATTATACACGTCACAAGTTTACACCTGAATTAATCAAAAATACGAAAAATTTTAATTAATTACTTTGCAAATTTTGAAGCACATATTTTGCAAAGTTTTTAACAAACTGTGCAATAAATCACTTCTTACAATCACTAAAAACTTGAAACTAGGTTATTCCAGCTATTTACATCACAGTGCACCATCAGTCCACCCCCACTTTATTTAACGTTTAGAAACTTTCCAAGCACAAAATATGTAAATCGCGTCACGACAAACGTAAGGTTGAAGTTGAAATGGGTGCTGAGGTTTTATTTAGTTCAATCTGCAGACCGAAATGTGAAAGGAAAAGAAACCTGTACAAATTTAGACGCGAGGGTCAACGGCATTCCAAGTACCGCAATTTTATGATGTGGTTCCGTCAAAAGGGTTTATACATGGTATTATTTTAACCCTTCATGAAGTGTATATATGTACAATTAGAAAGTTTGCATGTAAAAGGTATATATGGTAGTAACTTATTACCGTATGGTAGTATGTAGTTGGTTACTGTGTGGTAAATATTTCATCACCCATGACATTACTAAACGGTGCCGCCCGTTATTACCAGTTCCGGTAGAGTCATACATGCATAAATATATGTCGATATGTATGTAAACTGTTAAAATTCTGGTAGAGTCGCATATCTACTCCGTGCTGCTATTGATTTGATAATAAATTCCTACCAGATTGGTTATGATATGTTTCTCAATGGTAACTTGTTCATTACGGCAACATTACCAAGCGGTAATCATCCTTAATACTAGTTCCGGTAGAGTCATATTTATATGTACTCTGGTCACTAATGATTTAATACCAGTTCAGTAGACTAAGAGTGTACATAAATGCTGTATTTGTGGTGACGTTTTTTATGTACGCGTCTCTTTACGAAAGGTTTATTTGAAATATCTGTGTTGCATGGTTTATTAATAGGTATGCATGACAGGGATAAAGGACGGAGCATTTAAAAGGTTCAAATAAGCTTACGAGGGAACCTCTTATAGTGCCCGGAGCTCCCAGCATAACCACTATGTACATTCGACGTAGATTTTAATACTAGTCCGATGATGTGACAAAATTTCTGTGTCAAAATGACATTTCGTCAAGTGGTGACGACTTTTGTGACGCGCCGAACGGTCACTTTCGCCCATGCTTTCAAAAGAGGAACGCTTTTCACCACTCGCTCCTCACTCATCTCACTTAAATCTCAACCCATTTTTTCGACATAATTTCGCATACGATGGATGGATTTATAATCCCGAACTTTACTATACCTACGCCTTGTCTTTTCTAATTTATTTTTTTGGCACGATTGTAGAAGTTAAGAATATTCACCATCTCTTGATAGGTAAAATTTACACCGTCGACATCTTCTTCCTCCCATTCCTGTGAGGTTCGTTGCGACAGACTTGCAGAAGCTTCCTCGACGTCTTGCTCATCTTCAGAATCCTCATGAAATTCATTTATTGTATCACTATCACTAATTAAATCGTATGCCGCGACATAAGTGTCAATATCACAATCATAATCAAATTCTAAAGTAATAGAAGATTCAAAGTCCGTATTTGAATTATCAACTAAATCTTCCACAAAACGCAAAACCCGGTCAACAATTTCAACATTGTTAACTAGAATTGATGAAGCGTTCGAATCTCCCGAATACCTGTCCTTGGCGATTTTAAGAACAGACTCACAAATTGACACAATTATGGACATTCTATAATTTTTAAACTCCGAATATTTCAAGGTAAAAAATAATATTAAAAGGCTACAAATAGTAAACAAGGACCATATTGTCAAAACAGTTAAATTGGATGCGAGTTTACTCAATGAGTAAATGGGTTGAGATTTAAGTGAGATGAGTGAGGAGCGAGTGGTGAAAAGCGTTCCTCTTTTAAAAGCATGGGCGAAAGTGACCGTTCGGCGCGTCACTAAAGTCGTCACCAGTTGACGAAATGTCATTTTGACACGGAAATTTTGTCACATCATCGGACTAGTATTAAAATCTACGTCGAATGTACATAGTGGTTATGCTGGGAGCTCCGGGCACTATAAGAGGTTCCCTCGTTAGAAATAGTATGTATAAAATGGAACTTTTTACTATTCCAAGTATTTGAGATAATCCTGGGTCGGATTTTTACGACTTTTTTTCTGGCTTGAACAAAGTACTTCTAAAAAAGTGTGGAAGAATTTTTTACCACGTCACGAAAAGTCGATCGTAGCTACATACATATATTAGAGTTCAGATAAAGAATTTAGTTCCACACAAATTAAAAATAATAGAAAAATCGAATAATCGGATAGGCATTACATCATGAAAACTTTATATAGCAACGTTTTATAATTTATTTGATTCATTCGTTGCATGATATTTATCATGATGCATATGTATACACAAAAAGCTGAAAAAAATTAAAACTATCGCACCTTGAATGATTACACAAATACCTTAATGTACTTAATTCAGAGCATCATACAAAATTAGAAAACATGTAAGTAAATAAATAGGAAATCAAAATATCTAAAGATAAAATAAGTATGAAAGGGAGCGTCCATAAATCACGTGATCGATTTTTGGACAATTTTGACCCCCTCCCCCCCCCTTGGTGACCGGTGGTGATAATTTCGCTACCCCCCCCCCACCGGTCACGTGACAGGAGATGATGCTCAAATTAAATCATGTTGTCCGGAATAACAATATTTTTTAAATCATGAACCAAATTACAGCTACATTACACACATGTGTAAATAACTATTTAATACGCCAGTCAGACATAAGAATTTAAGTCGAGGCAAGTTTCTAAATATGCAAAATGAAAATCAAATTTATATAACGTGCGCGTGGTATGCCAAGAGAGTTTATATATAACTCTCATGATATTTATTGGCCTATTCAAGATTTAAAGAAAAAAACTTTACTCATGTCACGTGACATCTGATCATCTACCCCCCCCCCCCGTGATAATTGGTGACAAATTTCAGACCCCCTCCCCCCCTCTAATCGATCACGTGATTTATGGACGCTCCCAAAACAATCGAAAAATTAGTAATTGTCTAAACTAACTAAACAACTTATGTAACTAAATTCATAATGTTTAATAAAATTAATTTTTGTAAATAAGTATGTAAAAAATATAAACAGATGACGTTGCTGAATATGTGTATGTGTGTAGCTATCCAGTTGTTTAATTTATAAATTGTAACTTTTTATACATAATTAAACTTGTTTGCGGGAAAACTATGTTCAGCTAAAAATTTTACTGATTAAACTACAATTTAAAATGGGAATAATGAATATTTATCTCTTCAATATCAATAAAAATTGTATGCAGATACATACGCACCCTGCCTTAGAATGATTTCAGAAATTGAACCTAGCACAAGTTTACATAGACTTATTCGTCATGAATGGTACCTTTGTTCATGGAGGAGAGATTTAAGGTACATTACCACCATAACGTAATACAAATGCTAGTATAGCTTAAGTTTCCTGTTTTTCTTTTGTAAAATTTCAGTTTGACTTCGAAAATAAAATAAGATGTTTCCCTCATATATGAGGGAAACCTTTTATTTTATTTTATTTGATATTTTATGTATTGCATGAATCTTATATAAATTCATTACGCAATGGCACCCAATGTTGCTATTGTCAAAACGGCCAGCCACAATTTCCGGTCAAATTTCAAACAATTTAAATAACAAATTCGCTAATGTTTTCCAAAATGTTTTTAAGTAAATCCACCCCCTTAAATACTTTATAATATTAAAGAACAGACAGGATATGTAAAACAGGGTTATACCTAAAAAAAACACACGAAATTTGTTTTACCCCTTCAACAGAATCAAACAGCAATGAAAAGCAGTAATTAAAAATCCTGCATTATACGATGGGAAGTATGTTTCGAAAATCCGATAAAGGTTCTACTACCAGCAAACCTTCTACTTCATCTCTACTTGCACTCAATTTTCGTTGTTGTATTATTTAATTTGTATTAAGTGGCCATTTTTGAAACTGATTATTACCCTTATTCAGATTCATTTTATAATAATATTAATATTCTAGTCAAGAGTTTGGTTTGGAAAAATGTTGATTTAGTGGTCGAGGAGCATTCGTGTGCAATTTTGCAGATTATCTATCACGATATGCATTTACGATTCTGATAAATTCCTTTTAAATTAGAAAAAAATCCTTATCAACGTTGAAAAATTCCTTACCAACGTCAAAAGTTCATATCAACGGTAAACGAATCCTTAACAAAGTTATAAAAAACCTCCTAGCAACGTTAGAAAAATCCTAAGCAAAACTAAAAAAAATTCCTTAGCAACATTTAAAAAAGTCCTTAGAAAGGTTAAAAACATTCCTTCGCAACGTTAAAAAAGTTCCTTAGCAATGTTAAAAAAATTCGCGAGCAACGGTAACAAAATCCTCCGCAACGTTAAGAATTCCACAAGATTTCCAAAATAAGGTAGAAAGCCTTATAATCTAAATTATATTAGAACCTAATGACAATGGCCAGAACCTAATTATATTTCTTATTCTGGACCTATATTTTCCATCAAGATGATTACTGTTAGCGAGTTATTTACTGCCTAAATTAGGTCATTTTGATGTGTTAGTGTAAAACGTTAAATGTGGCCCGTCGTTGGACGGGCTTATACGCTAGTAAAATATACGTTCTTTCCATCCAAACACTAAGGAATAAGAAATTCCTAAGGAATGTGAAAAACGGAGAAATATTCTTGTGGCGATTTGCGATGCCTTATACCATCCATTTTTTCATATCCGCGTATTTGTCCTACATCAAATCCAGGTGTTTTGAAATTTCATATATTTAACAAACCGAATTTTTTACTTAAAATGTGGCATTAAAATAGGCGCGTTTTGATAAAACGTGCCTCAATTTTTTAAATAAAATTGAAACTGAAATTAGATTACTGAGGTTGTTTGTTGTAAATCAACAATAGTTCCTGTCAACCGAAGAAACTTCAATTGCTTCATGAATTAACTATAAAGATAAACATGCATGTATGTATGTAAGTGCAACTGAATGTACATACTTCACCCAAGTTTTTGCAATAATACCAAAAAGGAAATGATAAGTTCACAAAGTTAAGCCGGGAAGACAGGAAATTTATTACAACAATTATTGTCCAGACTATTTATTATTTTGTGAACTCTTTTGAATTTCATCAAACGACTCATGCAAATCAAAAATGCCTCATAATATCTAGTGTACATCGAGGCGCCTGCCGGCGCCCCTACTGGCTCGGCACCCCGGGCAATTGCCCTGCTTGCCCACCCCCAGTTTAGGGCCTGGATACCGTGAATTTTTAGTTTCTCATGCCCGATCTTGTAC